TTCCATTTTCTCGAGCAAATACAGAGAGCTGACTGAGACGCCATTGTGTTTGGTTCCTGGGTAGACGTCATCAGCAACCGCCGCCCCAGACTCCCTGAAACTCGGTCGTGTAACACTTCAGGCGCGACTTTGAAAGGGCATAGCAAATCGAGGATTCAACCAAATTCAAAACTTTTTTTGCCCAAATGCTTCAAATAACAAGTGGATTCATTTTAGCGAAAAAAATTTTTGGGGTTAGGTACACTTTAAACCAGAGTAATGTTTTCCAATCATACAGCTTTCTTCGTCCAGTATCTGAGTTACTCGCTCGATGCAAAGATTTTTTACGAATGGTTAGTAGACGGCACGTAAGTCGATTCAATGACAAAGTTTCGTAAACAAAACAATTTGTAAGCCAATTTACCGCAGGATAAATAATAAACATGTTATTGGCCGGCCTAGGGTCGGTCCGTATAGTGAAAAACTGCGACCTCGGGCTTGAAAATGCTGCCCTCGGCCTGCGGTCTCGGATAGATTTTCAAAACCTCGGTTACAGCTTTTCACCATACGGACCTTCCAACCGACCAATAACATATATGTATTCTATTGTATAGATATCTTAGTCTTCTTAGCTTTGTATTTTGTATTAGTCTGTGTCCCCTTATTAGTATGGGTTTCTCCCAGGCTACAGGGTTTGAAACTTAAATAAAGTTTTTATCAGTGTCATCGTCATCGTCATCGTCATCGGCATCGGCATCGGTATCATCATCATTATTATCATTTATTTAACTTTTGAAAAAGCTCGATAACATGTGACGATTAATCGTGCTAATTTCATCAGCTAGTCACTCTCCATTTCTTGTTAATTGACGTCTGTCAGTCAGTTTACAATGAGAGAGCCACGTGACCAAGCAAGATGTCAAATTAGATTCGTTTGACGTTGAGCCTGTCAAGCTAAAGAGTGGTGTCTTGTTCCTGCTCAGTTTGCACATCGTTTGCCACGCTGTGCACAACAGCACTGTGTGGAATACGATTCTTTTTCCTCCAGCACTTGTAGCCGATAAATATAACCACACACAATGCTGAAAGGACGCCAAATGAAATGCCCACAATCTTCAGGGGACTGAGACTTGAGGCTCTCTCTGCGAAGAGATGAAGTATGTTACCATTAGGAAAGTCTTGGATATTAGAGCATAACCGTGAAATAATCTCGCGTGAACTCAAACAAGACGGTAAATGAACTAGAAGGTTGATTGGTTTAGCTCACAAAGGCGAACGATGTAGTTGAAACTTGTTGAAATTTGCTTTATGTCCTGTTGTCCTATTTTATCTTACACTAGAGGGCTGGAACAAAAGAAAGTGTTTACAAGACAAGAGTATAACTCCCATAGGATTGATTTGGGACACCAATATGGCTGCCGTGACGTCACGTGAAATCCCTTTCAATCTCATTTCACAATCCTGGTTGCTTGGTATTTTTGATCTTGCATCATTAAGAGAGGAGGTTTCTCCGTTGATCCGTAAAATAACTGGTATTATTGGAAGAAGAGAAACAACTACGGTAGTCTTTAGGATTAATAAGAATTTGAAGGGTTAATACGTTTAGCCGTCCATAAGGTGGTCGGTGGACTAGGGGCCAGTGTCTTATACTCGCTTACAACGTGCTCTCGAAGTAGGACGCGGCAACATGAGTTACCTAGGTTACGTGTCTTTCTCGGTCTCCATGAAGGCAATACTTTAAGTAGTTAAAAACTGAGTTATCTTTCAACTCGTTACCTAGGCAACTCAGATCTCACGACGCAGCTTAGTTAGTTTAGTTAGAAACTACAACAGTTTAGTTAGAAACTACATACAAGAGATGATGAAGGGCAAAAAGAGTTAATTCCCATATGGGCCTTATTCCCAGTCCAGGCGCGTCGCGTACATGTGTTCGGTAAATTAAAGACGAAAATGTCAATCGGCTTGGACTGTTCACGTGAATTAACTTTGTGTCACAGGACTTGTCACAGGACTAGTCACCTGTAGACCCCCTTGGAATTTCTAAAACCAGGAGTCATGTAAAAATAGTGGTAGCAGCAGCAGTAGCAACAGCAGCAGCAACAGTAGAAGTAGCAGTAGCAGTAGCAGTAGAGGTAACAGCAGAAGCAGCAGTAGCGGCCGCAGCCAAAACCGAAGCCGAATCCGAATGCCAATTCTATTAATGAGTACATCCAGATTCCAGACATGTACACTATTTTAGCCAATCCCCAGTGGGACTTTCGCTCATTTGTAAAGGCCTCATTTATATCTTGACGCCGTTTTTAACGCATAATTTTTTATGCTGAAGAAGGTTACAGTATTTTAACCGCAACGTCCAAATCAACGTCTTTTTTTAGTCAATGACAACAAACATTTTAGCATTTTTATCATTCCTGACTAAAATTACAGTATTTTTAGTAGAAGTAAATAATCCCTCGATCTCGAGTAGGATGTCTGCTTGGCGGTGTTCAGTTTATGAGTTCGTTGATGACTGAGCAGTCCGATTCTCGAACGGCAGATTCGCAGACGGATGGAGCATCTTGTAGAGGTGTGCTGTGCTGGCAGCCTGTTACCTCTCTTTTCTCGCTGACCGGAGTCTCTCACGGTGTTCTTTCCTCTGTTGCTCACTGTGCTCCATACCAGTGTGGGTGGCATATCTCCAGCTAGGTCTGTCGCTGGCCTGTTGTTCCCAATTCTCAATGTTGATACCGCATTGCTTCAGGTTGTATTTCAGGTTAACGTTATAGGGATTACTTTGGGAATAAGGTCTATATGGGAATTAGCTCGCTTACCCCACATCCTCCCTTGCTACATATTACTACTACAGGCAGACAGATAGATAGACAAACAGACAGACAGACGGACAGACAGAAAGACAGACCGACAGACACACAGATAGATAGACAGACAGACAGACAGACAAAACAGGCAGATAGGCGGACAGAAAAACAGAAAGACCAACAGACAAACAGACAGACAGACAGACACGGCCAGACAGGCAGGCAGACAAACAGACAGAATCAATTTTTACCTGCTTCGTAGCTTGCCTTGAAGCCCGGATACTCATCAAACCCATAGGACGTGAAGGAAACTGTATCGCTGGTGGTTAAAAGAACGGGGGAAGGCTTCTCTGATCCGCAATAATCTTTATTGAGCAATCGAACATAATCGTATTTGCAGGACACATTAAAGAAATCGAACCACAACTTTATTTTGTAATCAGAATCCATATTGAATTCCCAAGTACACTCAGCAGGCTCATCATAAGGTAGAGGGTAGTTGTAACTTGCCAGGCTGCCAGATGTCGACTTCAAATGCGTAACCTGGTTTTTCTCAGTACAAGAATAGGGAGCTGGTACTGAAAACAACACAACATAAATTCATGAATAAATTAGAAATAATATATTCAACTAACAAAAGAGTACTGACAAATCTGAGACGATCGCGTGTTATACTTGAGTTTATATAAATGATGATTTAAAGATGATTCCCAGTCCGTACTGTACAGAGTTTGTTTGCGTTTTTTGTATTGTTTCATGTAAGACATCACAAAATGTAAACATTTCGCAACTACTTACATGAAGTAAATTCAAAGTTTCAAAACAACCGCCATTATGGATGCGAAGCGATCGAAGTTTTATGCTTCGTTCTTTCTCATATCACTTGATGAAACAACTTCGCAGCTGTAAAAATCAATGAAGCTGTTGGAAAAAGAATCTGAAAGGCCTCAAAGATAAGGTATATAGTTCGTAACGAATAACATCGATTCGCATTCCATCGAGTGAGGATTCTAATGACGGTTTATAAACATTAGGGTGCTGAGTCTGCGCAGTATGGACTGCAAATCATCTTTAACTAAAAGAGAACAACGGTGGACATCAGCAAACCGTTATGCCATGAGGAGGGTCTACACTGGTTGAGAAATAATGAATGTTACATTTTGACACCTTTAATATATACCATATCCACCTCGTCCCCAAACAACGTTTTCTATTTTCGACAATTGTCAAAATTGCGGCTCATTGTTGATTATAAATAGTAGAGATGACCTGGGCGCGAGGCTGCAACAACAGTTGTGCCTGTGGATGCTACGGCAATTTACCATGGGCGTTGTGCATGGGATGCAAGCGTATTATTAAGACATGGGACTTTGGTCTCATGATTGAAGGAAATACCAAAGCAAAGAAACGATAGCAAAAGTAACATAATACAAGTAAATACATAAAAGATCATATATTTGCACTGCCGAGAAAGATATGGAGACATGATTGATCATCGCAGTTATAGACACAACTTAAGCAGTTGTAAAATTAAAGCCTGAAAAAAAACTCAGGTTTAAACTGGATTTGAACCTATGACCTCTGCGATACCGGTGCAGTGCTCTGCCAACTGAGCTTTCAAGCCATCTGGGAGCTGGTCACATTGTGAGTTCGTAATATATCCGTAGATGGCGAAAAATACAGATGAGTATTTTCATGCTTTAATCTCACAACTGTATAAGTTGTGTGTATAACTGCGATGATCAATCATGTCTTCAAAACTGAAAAAAATTGTTCAGATTCGCTAGTAACCCAATCCTTGGCGGTCTTGATAATTCTCGCTATTCCCACTAAACCTTATCTAAAGAAGTCACGTGATAAAAAGTAATAACGACCATTTAACGTGACAATATTTATCGAAATTCGACCGCGTACGGTCGTTATCTGCTCTGAGAACGGAGCTCGAGGAAAGCCATGAGCTTCGAGGAACAGATAATGCCTGAGGACAAATGTGCGTGAATATTTTAGCGCTAAATGGAGGTTGTTGCGCTTATCAATGTTCGGTATGGCTAACATTTAAATGAATGAATTATATTTACAGAAACCAAAATTAAAATACAATAAGAGGTTCCAAATGGCCCGAGTGGATCAACGTCAAAAACCGGGCACCCAAGTCCCGATCTCATCCAATGATTGGACCAGCAAGAAAGCAAGTCCCGCATGGGACTGTTCCGATTCCAAACTAGAGCAGCCCCGTGTCAAAACTTGTGAACATGGGCGGCGCAATTTTTAGCTGTGTTCTCGCAGAACTGACCCCAAGTGGATGAGAAGCGAGACCGGTCTTCAAATAAACTTGATTAATTGTGTTTTGCCAGCAAACAATTATCAAAGAATGACAGCCGCTGAAAATAAGTTTAAAGCGGAAAATGAAACCAGCCTACTGGGGAGGCCTTATGAGTTCGTGAGCTTATTTTGGATGTAGTTGTGAGCGAAAAAATTTTTCCGTGCGGAATGAAAGATAAGGTTAAAATTAGGGTGGGGCTTTAGTAGGTTTTTTTTTTTCAGGTAGGCCTCTTACAGAATTTAATAAGCCCGCCCCATTACATATATTTTTCTGACACAAGACATAATATAAGAGGTACCCGCGGATTAAATTTTATTATGTTAATAATGAAATCTTACCTTGTTTTACCACTTCAAAAACAGCGTCAAACTTTGATACATAAGAACGATAATGTTTCCAAGACTGGAACTGAACCCTAAGATAGCGATCGCCGGAAAACACGGAAGGCAGGAGGGACTGAAATCCTTCAACTTTGCAGTACTTGTTAAGCAAATCACTGGATGAATTCTGGCCATCCCGAATGTAAAGAGCGGAGGAATGACAATCAGGCCCCAACTGCAAGGTCTTTATACTTAACTTTACAAACTTTCCCTTGGGGGCTGTTATTACCCAGGTGCATTGAATGCTGCCAGCAAAGTTGCGTGGATATTGTGGCGAGAAGAGTCTCCCTGTTTCTCCATTCATGGAAATAACGTTGTCGCGCCATGGATCTTTGCACGGTCCCATGGAAGCTAAATAAGAAACAGAGAGAGGTATATCTTATAGCTAGTCTGTTCTTAGAGCTAGTACTCTAATTTGTACTTTTAATATCTTCATTGAACATTGTACTTATTTTTTTTGAGCAAGAGTGAGTACAAATAAAGATTGAGATTGAGATTCTTGGAGAAAAATATAATACTCCCCTTTTCCGTTAGGTGACGGAGGGAGGAAGAAAGAAAGGAAGGGGGAGGGAAGGAGGGAGGGAGGGAGGTAGGAAGGCAGTAGGAAAGAAGGTAGGAAGAGAAAAAAAGAGAAATTGAGGGAGGTATTAAGGGAGGGAATCAAGTGAGGGAGGAACGAAGGGAGAAAGAAAGGGAGGTACACTATAGGAAGGGAAGGAAGGAAGGGAAGGAAAGAAGGGAAGGAAGGAAGGAAGGAAGGAAGGGAGGGAGGGAGGGACACAAGAAGTAGCTAAATGCAGTAACTTACGGTCAGGAAGTGTTTTGTAGCTTGCATGGAATCCTGGGTATCGGCCTGTGCTGTCAGTTTGAAAGTTCACGTACACACTTGAATAATTTGATTGAATAATCGGAGGAAGCGAAGAACCACAGAAAGTTCCAATTTTCCTTGCAAATATTGCGTCGTGGTCTAAAATCCCAACAGCATCATTCCACAGACAATCTGCATATTTGGACTGTTCCAAATGAAAAGAATGAAAGGTCAATTGGATGACATATCCAGCGGGTGCTTCAATTTTCCATGAGCACTCTACGTCATTTGGGTAAGGGAGAGGATACCCAAAACTTGCAAATTCACCTTGAGGGCGATGTAGAGTGACCACGTTTTTAGACCACCAGTACGGACTGGGCTTAGAACAAGAGTATCTCGCGGGCACCGCTTTAAGAGCCTCATAAGATGCCAAGAAGCCTCCTGGATACACTAGATACAGCGATGTAAACTCTACAAACACACTGTTTCCTATTGAATAGAATTCATTCTCGCTGTAGTCTCGAGCGTATGTTCCCAATTTGCGCCAAGTGTAGTTTGACACATCATAGACTGTGGCGTAGTTTTGAAGACGGTATCCGACCATTTCCCAAAATGTGACTTTTACAAATTCCCCAGGAGGTACAGTGATGTTCCAGCCACAGGTTCCTTTGCCCGGGTTTAGTGGATATCCAGGAGTTGAAAAGGTTCTTCCTTCACCTGTCAGATACACCGTGGAGCTCTTGTTTAGGTTGCAAGTTCCTGATGAAACTAGATGAAGCATGAAATAGGTGAATTTAATTTAAATAAGGTTAAATAAGGTTATCCAGTTTTTACAACAGTTTTGTGACAACAGAGTCGAACCAGTGGATTTCGCAGCCCATATATGACTTTCAAATACTTTCCACGACACCCAATATGGCAATTAAATATCATGTGATTTGCGGTCTCAGTCGAATTTCTGAGCCTTCATCTGTCACTGGTGGATGATGGCTGCTGTTCGCTCTGCTCATCATAATTAAACATAATGTTATCATCAGATTTTCAGATCAGCTACTATTAGTTTATTAGATTAGTACAGTGGAACCTCGATTTAACGAAGTCGCTGGGGACCGGCCAAAATTGTTCGTTAAATCGAGGGTTCGTTATATCGAAAACCTCGATATAACGAATTTGAGGGGAAACGACCAAAATTTTCGTTATATCGAGGTCATAGTTAATAATTGATTTGTAACACAGGTGACCTTCTGTCACGCAATTCAACGCAGTTTTCGTCACCCAGAAGTGCCGCATTTTGAGATGCAATTCATGAAGCAGGGTGGCTTTGAATATCAATTATTTTCACTTTTGAGCAGACGCGCAGGTTTTGTTTGCAAAAGAACGACACTTTCAGAGTAGCGATTTAAAAATGTTACAACATAGAGGTTATACAGAAAATTGTCTATGCATTCAAGGAAACGGGCTTTAGTGTTGTTATGTTGCACTACCCAACATTTCCGGAATTCAAAGAAGATAGAGCAGAAGTWAATTGATGTCGAAATACTATAGTGCCAATGTCTGTGACATATAATAAGCCGTTGACTGAAAGGTTGCTGTCTCTTTACCATAAGGATTACAAGCATTTGTTGACTGTTGATCTGGTCAGCGTTTATCTTTTGTCGCGTGTTGACACTAATTCGTTATATCGAGGTAGATTTAACGTTTGGGCTTCCGGATTATGTTCGTTATATCGAAGAATTCGTTATATCGAGGTTCTATTCCATACATTTTACTGTAACTTTGGCTGGGACCTAGAATATCGTTCGTTATATCGAGGANAGATTTAACGTTTGGGCTTCCGGATTATGTTCGTTATATCGAAGAATTCGTTATATCGAGGTTCTATTCCATACATTTTACTGTAACTTTGGCTGGGACCTAGAATATCGTTCGTTATATCGAGGACTTCGTTGAATAGAGGTTCGTTAAATCGAGGTTCCACTGTATAATTAATATTAGATTTTATATATTATAAGAAATTTTACATAGTCATATTTTTGCTATTTGTTTCTGGCTTCTTCTATACATTTTGTGTCCCCAAGTTTGAATGAGATTTTCCCAAGATATAAGGTATTATCACAGTACTAAAGTGTCTATCAATCTATCTATCTATCTTGCACTAGCAACATAGGTCACTAGCAGCAAAGGTAACTAGCGGCATAGGTCGATAGCGGCACAGGTCACCAGCGGCAGAGGTCACCTGCGGCAGAGGTCATCAGCGGCACTGGTCACCAGCGGCACACGTCACCAGCGCCACAGGTCACCAGCTGCATAGGTCACCAGCGGCATAGGTCACCAGCGACACAGGTCACCAGCAGCACACATCACCAGTGGCACAGGTCACTAAAACCATAGGTCACTAGTAGCATAGGTCACTAACAACATAGGTCACTAGCGGCATAGGCCACCAGCGGATCAGGTCACCAGCAGCATAGCTCACCAACAGCATAGCTCAGCAGCGGCATAGGTCACTAGCGGCATAGGTCCCTAGCGGCACAGGTCATCAGCGGCACAAGTCACTAGTGGCACAGGTGACTGAAACCATAGGTCACTAGTAGCACAGGTCACTAGCAGCATAGGTCACTAGCGCCATAGGTCAGTAGCAGCATAAGTCACTAGCGGCATAGGTCACTAGCAGCATAGGTCACTAGCGCCATAGGTCCCTAGCGGCACAGGTCACCAGCGGTACAGGTCACTAGTGGCACAGGTGACTGAAACCATAGGTCACTAGTAGCATAGGTCACAAGCAGCATAGGTCACTAGCAGCATAGGTCACTGGCAGCGTAGGTCACTAGGGACATTGGTCACCAGCAGCATAGGTCACTAGCGGCATAGGTCACTAGCAGCATAGGTCACTAGCGGCATAGGTCACTAGCAGCATAGGTCACTAGCGGCATAGGTCCCTAGCGGCAAAGGTCACTAGCGTNCATTGGTCACCAGCAGCATAGGTCACTAGCGGCATAGGTCACTAGCAGCATAGGTCACTAGCGGCATAGGTCACTAGCAGCATAGGTCACTAGCGGCATAGGTCCCTAGCGGCAAAGGTCACTAGCGTAGAGGTGACTAGTGGCACAGGTCACTAGTGGCACAGGTCACAAGTAGCACAGGTCACCAGCAGCACAATCGCTAGTGGCATAGGTCAGCAGCAGCATAGGTCACCATCGGCATAGGCACCGGCAGGCACAGGTCACCAGCGGCAGAGGTCACCTGCGGCAGAGGTCTCCTGCGGCAGAGGTCAACTGCGGCAGAGGTCAACTGCGGCAGAGGTCTCCTGCGGCAGAGGTCAACTGCGGCTTAGGTCACCAGCGGCTTAGGTCAGCAGCGGCTTAGGTCACCAGCGGCGTAGGTCACCCGCGGCATAGGTCACCAGCGGCAGAGGTCACCTGCGGCTTAGGTCACCAGTGGCTTAGGTCACCAGCGGCTTAGGTCACCAGCGGCATAGGTCACCGGCGGCATAGGTCACCAGCGGCATTGGGTCACCAGCGGAGAGGTCACCTGCGGCAGAGGTCCCCAGCGCCACAGGTCACCAGCTGCATAGGTCACCAGCGGCATAGGTCACCAGCGACACAGGTCACCAGCGGCATAGGTCACCAGCGGGCATAGGTCACCAGCGGCATAGGTCACTAGTGGCATAGGTCTCTAGCGGCATAGTTCTCTAGCGGCATAGTTCACTACCAGCATAGGTAACTACCGGCATAGGTCGCTACCAGCACAGGTCTATAGTGATGAAGCAGATGATCTGGTTGCTTACGTGCTTAAACAGTGGAAGTCCTTGGTTACAAGCATCCAAGTTAGAATGTGCGCCCTCTTCACAGTTTACTTCATATTTCTTTTAATTTAGTGAGATTTTGGTGATACATCAAGGCAAAATCACCCAGTTAAATGATAATTTTCTAACTCTCATTAACATGAACATAGAGAAACGCAAGAGAAACGCAAGAGAAGCTAGCTGTTGATCAGTCTAGAGCAAAGCAGGGGCATAAACGTGCCAGTTATTATTTCAGTTCTTATGGAATGGTCCTGATAAAGTCACACGTAGATCGGCGATAAATGAACACTCCAACGGAGGATTAAAGATGATTGATTTTGAAAGCATGATAATATCACTTCGATTGGCATGGCTAAAACGAATAGTTAGCTCAAATGATGGCACCTGGAAAAGGTATCTGACATATCACCTAGAACGCTTTGGCGGCCTTTTCTTG